ATCACTACTGAAGCCCGCCAGGTGATATGGTGCACTCCTAACCCGTTTTGGCCTAGGCCTGGGTCTGGTTTCTCAATGGTAATATGATTATTATGATTAATATGATTATTATACACCTTTACCTGGGATTGTTTATCAGTAGGAACGACATCTTCAATATCTTGTCCCAGGATGACCACTTGGGCCTGGAAAATATAGAAAACCGTCAGTTCAAAATAAAGTTTCGGTGAATGAATATTATGAAAGATTACATAGGATTGTTTAACAGTAGGAACTGCATCTTCTATTTCTTGATTCAGGATGAGGTCAGGGGTTCTAGAGATTATACACAACCGTTAGCTCTTGACTAATGTTGTGATCTGACCAGTCATTGACAAACCTTGCTCTATCCTTAAGACGTAAATAAGTCCATGGTCAAATAAAGCACAAATTGAAATTATAATCCCTTATTATTGATAGAACATCAGTAAAGTGACAGTTTTGATGCTTTTGTATTTAAAAAAAGGAACATTTCTGATGCTTTCCTACAGCTTAATGATATTTTAGAGATTTTCGCAGCTTGGGTTATGTTAGGTTACAAAAAGCATCAAAAATTGCATGTGAAAGCATCATAATTGTCCAAATTAATAAAAAAATAGCTTTTATTTTATTCCGTATTAAGTAAGATTCTAGTCTTACGCGTCCGTGAGTCTACTTTCTCAGATTAACCAAATACAGTATCCAATTATATAGATTATATCTCGGACTGCAGATTGTATGAATAGTGGAAGGAGGTTGAGCTAAGAAGACATGATTAAACACCACTTCTTTTGTGCACCAGTTCAAATTAAAAAGAAAGGATTCCACTTAGTCAATGTTTCAACTATTTAGGTATCTCTAATCAATTGATTTGACAAGTGTTTTCAATACAGCTGTCGAAACATTCAAAACCAATTATATACTGTATACTTGTACAGTTGAAGTTTTATGCACCTGTTTTAATTCTAATAGCAGCTTTCTATTTCAGACATATAATAAGCATGATTTTAATTGTTGTTGAGTGCATTGATAGCATTATTTCATCGACATGACTCAAAATCAAAATAGATGTAAATAATTTACAAAATAGCAAATTTAAATTCCTTTAATAATACAAACCGTCCCATATCATATTAGATTATCTCCAAGTTTTAACGTCAAAATAAAATCATAATACTCGAAAAAACTAGTATTTTCCACAAGACAATTTTTATATTAGCCTTATTCAATATTCCAAAATGATTCATTCTCCTCAAATTTTCTGTTTAGTCCTGAAAATCATAATTTAGACCGATTGACGATCTAATCATATGGGACACCCTGTATATACGACAAGTTTTATATACAGGGTGTCCTACGAAACAAGGCAGTTAATAAATAACTTTGAATTTTGTCTTCCATACACTGTCTTAGATATTAAAGGCTGTTTGCAGTTTATTTCGTTTGAAAAATCTTTTGCTCAAATACATTTTACTTTGAAATTAATTTTACTAAAATATGACTCCTATATAATATTTTTATTATTGTCTTTGGTATTAAACAACTTACCAAATTATGGAAGAAGACATTCAAACTATTTACCAACTGTCATGTTTCGCGGGACACCCTGTATATCCCGAAAAAAAATTGTTTGGGGTCCCCGTAGTTTTTATATAATCAGATAGTTAGTTTCTTGTTCTGTATGATTGTTTGGAGCCTAAAATTTCCAAGGTAATATATAGTATACACATTATTGTTAACCATTAATTTAAGACCTCTGTAAAATGTCGTCTTCAACTTGAATCTCCTCTCGGAGACAGCCAAACCAAATTTTCAGCCCACAATTCCCTTTGTACTCCTCCCACGGAGCTGAAAATATTTTCGTTGTTGTGAAATCATTAAAGTTAAGCAAAATATTTTCATAAGAAGCATTAGTGAATTTCGTTAAATATTCAACTGCAATTTTTCAGAAGTTAAAAAAAACGTATTTCAATACTGATCAACAATAAGTCACCCCCGACCATCTCTAAATAATTCGTAAGATTTTTTCCACTGTTAATATTCATTATAACATTGTACAAGTAACCATGACCTATAATTTATGTTATTTTTTAGGAAATAAAGATTTTGTTATCAAATTTCTGAGACGGGGTTACTCTGTTGTGTGTATTTGTGCGGCCTATCGGGAAAGAATTGTCCGGGGAAAATAAACATCCCTCACCAGAATCCTAACTGGCCTATTATCCTGATTTGTCTAGCGTGTTGCTGTTTTCCGTCAACAATTATAATTATACACATGTATAAAATAAGGTATTGTGGAAGACGATGCCTGGCCGCGTTAAATAAGTTCCACAAGATTCAACAGAATGAGATAGAACGGATACGGGGCATAGTACTGAGAAATATCTACACGTGTGATCTCGATATAAACTATTATTCTGAACCCTCTAGTAATAAGTTATAAGAAATATATATACTGGAAGTTATTTATGCGTTTTCATTAGAGTCTGACTCACGTCCTCTCTAGTATCATTTATGATAAAACCATAAACATAAACTCAAAGTCTCTAGTCTCAACAAGCTCTGTCAATACAACAGTGTTTAAATGAATAACTTCTCTGATTAAGAAGACGTGCAGTCCGGTGAACTAGTACTTACAGTCAAGGTACTAATGCAAGGAAAGTTATTTCAGAGGTGCACACATTTACTGTCTGGGCGGAAAAGTAAACACAAGACGGATGCCAACCCCTGACATGGAAACCATTTTCACAAAAATAATCTATAAAATATTCTGGTCATACGAAAATTATTATGTTAATTTTCAAAATTATCAAAATTAAATGTTTTTATCCTCCTCGGATACTAAACGAGCACTGATGCATCTATTCTTGTTTACAAATTCCCCCCAGAGAGAACTGGTTTTAATATGTACGCAGAGTATACGCTACCGCAATTAACTTCCCTTACATTATTACCAGCTTACAGTTGGCAAGGTTAAGCAGTAAACACAGCTTTATATTCGTGTTTACAATGTATCTATGTATACAGGGACGTACGAGACCATTTATGTATGGGGGCACATTGGGCACGCGTAGGGGGGAGGGCGTACGACCCTGTATGTATACTTAAAAGTAAAAAAAAAAAATTCTAAATCAAATTTGATGCATATTTAAAAAAATGTCAAAGATAAAAATATTATTTTTTAAAAGCTTGCTTAAAGTTTGACAGCTTGTGTAATAGATTTGTTGTAAAAGCAGATTAGCAAAAATAGAATCTTAAGAATAACTTCCTTTTTTAAAGTTAAAAATGTTTTTCATAAAGTCAAACCCTTAATAACGAATACATCGAAAGAATTCATCAAATGTCGTATTCTTCACTTTGTGATATAATGAAATGTTGCAGATATTTAGTTTTTTAGTTAAATGATTATATGGAACTAATTAAAACTGTTCCCGCATATTCATGGCTTTTTATTTATTTTCGCAAATACTGAAATTTACGTAATATAGTATAAAACTCATTGAAAAATTGTCAAGACGACATTTGATAAATTCTTCCGATGTATTCGTTATTAAGGGTTTCACTGTAAAAGAAACGCCGGAAATTTTTTTTTTAAAATGGTAATTACTTTTCAAATATTATCGCCTTCAGGACTTTTCCATGTATTATTCTGAATATTTCGAGTTAAAATAGTTTGTACGGTCAAATGGGATCGACCAGAGATAAGAGAGTCTGTGGGATCGACTGAGCATGTAATTTAAAAGAGTATCGTTGAACGAAACTCCCGAGTTTCCTTTTTGGGGTCCTAACATTTTGTTTTAAGAGATTCGAAAAAAACGGAGAATATAAACAAACTGAATCAAATAATATTTCATAACAAAAATATTCATAATCAGAAAAATTCCTAGTCCCATTCATTAAACCCGGTTTTAAATCTGGTTTTAATAACGATACCCTGTCTGAAGTTTTGGGTTCTGAGGAGGGTGATGCCCCCAGAACCGGCTATGAATATGTCAGAACCAAATTAATAAATACAATTCCTAGGAAGATTACATAAAAATATTACATTTTATGGTTTGATGACAAAGCAAAGAAAACATTTCAAAATAACTTTAAAACTAAATCTAAATATTTATACAAATGGACAACATAGAAGACGACTTCATGTATCTGCATGTTAAAAACAATCAAACCAATTCATCAAAGTTGAGTGACATAGCTTATTTTTTTACACGAAATACAACCTATATTTGTGTCATTGGACTGTTTTAATTCGCTCCTGCGACTCTTCCACGGCGTAAACGGTAACTGCACTCAGTGACGTACACATATGTAGGAACATGACTCTATACATAATATGTGTGCATTTATAGAAATTCATTTATTTTAGACCACATTTACACCAAACGTTATTTTCTATGTACCATATCCCTTCTTGAGGTGTATGCAGAAAATTGTTTAGAGGAATTGACTTTGAAATGTCAGGGGCAGGGGTTCAAGTCTCTAACCCCCCCCCCCTTCTTGGAAATCAAAGTTTTTCACTTTCCAGGGGGGGGGCTTTCTTCCGGCTTACTTTTTAAAGCCCCACTGTCCCACACCTAGATAAACAATTGATTTCCTATTAACAATGCAAAAAATTGTGGTCAAGGTTGAAGAAATTACACAAAAATCAAAAAAAATTGTTTTTTTAGTGTTAGGAAACAAAGTTCCTAGGTTAATATCCATGTTTTGCTATTTGACCTCAAAATACAGCTGCTCACTGTTTAAAGTACAAGTGTGATTCCTTATATACAGAATTTCTTCCGTGAATCATTTTAAAATTAAGGGGAAATTTAAATTTCTGTTTCCATTTTCACATTTGTAATATTTGTTTTTAAACTGTGAAATGTTAGAAACTGATGGAAATTTAAGAGTACGGTGTGTACCATCCTAAATTATTGTGAATTCCCATTTTGAAACTAGTTATTTCGTGTATTAGCTGGAGTATACCTGTTAGAATTCTAAATCCTTCAAAGTACGCACACAGTCATCCTGCATTGCTGTGTCTGAGTAGATATTGTTAGAGTATATATATATATAGACAACTCAAAATTGTGAACAGTGAATGTATTTGATATTTGATAAAGGTAAAACATATCATAAATATTTTCATTGGAATCACGCATTTATATGCAAGAAATTGTGAAGATATGTTGTCTATTAATGATGATGAATGGTTTAAAGTCTCTCTTCAGTTGTTGTTCTTAGATTTATATCATACATATTAGCTTTTGCAAATGTGCAAAATCGAGAAAAGCAAGCTTGACAATGTTCTAATTCAATTCAAACATAAACAAAAATGTAGTCTATGTTTATTAACATCATAAAAACTATCTTACTAATTCAAAAAAATCTTTTCCTGAATATAAATTGCACCCTGTTCTTAGTTTTATCTTTAACTGCCAAAACAGGTGCGCAGTTCATGAATATTTATCCAGGGAATGCGAAGAAATCTGTGTTAACCAATATGTTAACCATATTTATAAACCTGAACACACCTAGATATATTACGTTGTACATTCTCTGTAACTCAAAATATACATTAGTTGGAATAAAACTCTACTTGATTACGAAATTAGAGTAATCCATTACTTTGTGTAGCAAGCAAGACGGACGTTCCTGAGTTGTATCTGGATAAATAGATATAGACTAGGAAGATACAGAGAGTATTGTATCTGGATTTGTACATACTAAGGTATTACATTTAAGGGACGAGAGAGTTCATGAACAGTTTGTACCTAAGTGATACATTCTGCAGAATACAATAGTTTTAAAATTCGGTGAGGGTTATGGACCAAACCTCTGTAGAGTAAAAAAGTAGATGTAAGTTCCACATTTATTGAAAATATATTTCGGTCTGGGTTGACCCTTGTCAGTTCTAACGATATAATAACCATCAAAATCGATAAAAAGAAAAATTGTTAAAAACCACAAGAAAATTAACAAACAAAAAAGATTTTTAAAAAATTTGGCTGTCAAATGGATAAAAGGGAAACGAATTCAGATCATGAGATGGAAAAAAAGATAATTTGCAAATATTCACTTTTTAAAAAATGTCTCAAGGCAATTATTATTCCTTGAGATTGTTTCTGTCAGGAAGATCAAAAACAAATTGTTTAGATGTATGTGTATAAAGTGCTGGTGGGAGTCGATCTAATTAACAAACTTTTACATAAATGGGGGGGGAGATGGGGGGGGCTTGTTTAAGGAGGGGTATTTACACTTTTCAAAGAATTGAACATAAAAATACTCTTTTTTTTAAAGAGATACTGAATAACAGTTTACAATTAAATAAAAACTATTCTATTCTAGTCATTCCTCTGAGTTCAGTCATAAAATCTCTGATGTATTTAGATTCTCGTACTTCAAGTAAACTTCTTCCGTGGTCCCAAACCTTCTCTAGAATGCTAACTTTTAGATGGTAGAGTTCATGTCCAGGAAGGTTAAAATGTTCTCCTGTAGGCTGGTTTGTAAGGAGATTTCTAATGTAACCAATATGTTCTCTCACTCTTTCATCTAAAGATCTGTTGTCTGTCCTATATATTGTAGTTTACACTGCTCGCATGTAATACAGTAAACTACATTTCTGGTCTTACAGTTGAAAGTTCCATTAATCTCAATCTTCTTACTGGTATTAGAGGATTGTGTCACTGTTCCAGGCACTATGTAGGGACAAGTTGGGCAACTTAAACCACAAGGTTTCTTACCAGGTATTAGCCTCTTTGGCCTCATTCTAGGAGGATCTGGAATTCTGGCTCGGATGAGTTTATCCCTGAGATTAGGTCTTCTATAGCTAAGTAATCATGTCATATCCATGGATTGATACGGACTGAGTACATTGATGGAACATTATAGTTCCAGAACAGTTTGTACCTAGGTGTTACAGATTGAATTGTTTTTATAGACTACGGAGTTCTACAGAGGTTGTATCCCGAGTAATAGATACTGACGGATACGGAGCTGGTATCCAGATCAATATACTGACTTAATAAACAATATCGGAGTAAGGCATTTACTACAAGTTGATCACAAGGTTAGGGTTTCTGTTAAGAGTGTATACAATAATATATTTTATTTTATCATAAACACCTGTTACAGCGTAAAACCGACAACTGATTATTTGGAGTCCTAGTCAGTGGCGACTTTTTGTTTCATCATCTGCAATCTATTTTATCCCTTTTATCCCCAGAACGCCCCTGCAACGTGTTGTCGGAATTATGTGAAATTGCACGAAATTACGCGGAATTAACAAGATCGCAAATGCGCTCAAGTAAAATCCACTGCTTGAGAAACCCTACTATTTAGATATAATAAACAACTAGGATGAGAGTCTCTTCGGAAATTGTTATTCTCGGAGAAAAATTAGATCAAACCCGGTTTGATGATATTAATTGTCCAACAAAAAGTATAAAAAAAATTGTTTTTCATAAAAAGATGCCCATTTATATTAAGATTGCACAGTGAAAGACAAATGTTGAATATCTTTTCAGACGGCTGAGCTTTGGACATTTTAATTAACAAGTTCAGCAACGCTTAAAATCCCGGTTTTTGAGTGACATTGCTGTTAGGCCCGTAGAAGTTATAAAGGCTTATATAATTTACCGAAACATGAATAACTCAATATTCTTTAAAGATATTGGCGTTTTGTTTTTGAATTGTTAAAAAGAAAAAAATGTACGTTAACCACTCCAAGATGGAGCTGACAAAAGGTGTAAAAAAGAAGCGATTTTTCACCTTTTTCTAAATATTTTACCATAAAAAAAATTGTTAAATATTGTTTTAACCAAGTTAAAGGAATTCCAAAATGGTATTTTTAAAATTTTTAAAATTTTTAAAATCCCTTGAAATTTGACAGAGTTGAGCTAGTTTTACCCTAAAAAATGTGGCATACATCAGGGAATATTTTCCAGGGGCACCCTACCCGGCCCTGCTGGGGTATTGTTCAGGGGCACCCTACCCAGCCCTGCTGGGGTATTGTTCAGGGGCACCCTACCCGGCCCTGCTGGGGTATTGTTCAGGGGCACCCTACCCGGCCCTGCTGGGGTATTGTTCAGGGGCACCCTACCCGGCCCTGCTGGGGTATTGTTCAGGGGCACCCTACCTGGCCCTGCTGGGGTATTGTTCAGGGGCACCCTACCCAGCCCTGCTGGGGTATTGCCAGGGGCACCCTACCCGGCCCTGCTGGGGTATTGCGTAGAGCGGGAGGGCTTAAAAATTCTGTATAGTATAGGCAATGTTTATTTTTGAAGGCACCACTTGGAAATTTTTATTCAGAAAAAGGTCACTTGGAAAAAATACTTACATTTCTTCTTCAGAGTTACTGATGGCTGTTTTTGAATCTACGAGGATTGTTGTGGATCAATATCTGAACAAAGAAAATATGAAAAGAAAAGAGAATTTTCTCTATGCAGGTATTAAGAAACAAATTAAATATTGTTAAATATTAGGGAAAAAAATTGGGAAAATTTTTTTAAAATAAGTTTAAATTATTTTTAACATCTATCTCAGTCAAAAAAAGTATTTTACTAGTACTGAAGGGGAAATTGCACTTTGTTAAAATGTTTAAAGATAAAATACCTTTTCTTTATTACGAATTAAAAATTAGGGATATAGTTTTCTCCAAAAAGATAAAAAAAATTTATTAGATATTATAAATAATGATACCCAATTTTGTTCAAAAATGTATTTCATTCTTTTATCATTCAACGTTGTTTCATATTGTTGCAGTGTGTTGAACACGATTCGCAAAAGTGACTTTTTATCAATTTCTGCAAATGACATAAATTTCTAACTGTAAATGTATTCATTCCAGATGGAAAAGAGACTATAATTTTAATGTCCTTTAACATACTTATTCAAAGGATAAATCTTTCATCGTAATGTTGACGATTCTCAATAGGATGCCGTTTCCTTAGTATGGATTAAGATTAACTCTTTAAAGCTAAAAAGTGAATCTAATCAAAACTCTTAACTGCAGAATGTGAGAAATCCAGGAGACTTGAAGTAAATTTTCCAGGGAGAGGGCATGAGGTATGAGCATTTTTCATTTCAGTATTTTAAAACTTTATGCTTTTCAAATATAAGCCTTACCATATCAGGGAACTACCTCTGAGCCTAGATTAAAGCTGAGAAGATTTGAAGAATTGATGAAACCGTTATCTAATCCATCATCAGTTCCACTTGACGTTTCATATCAAGACATTTATACTCAACATGTTCTTGCCTCTTACCAGGTTAAAGCAAGTCAACTTCAACATTCCTCAAAACATTCTTCTTCTCCACAGCCTGTTCTACCATCTCAACATGCAATCCTTTCAATCCATCCAATCCAGACTTCATCGACTTTATCTCCTTATACCATTCTAGCTCCTTTATCAAGCTCCGGACCATCTCACGTCCTCACTACTACTCCGCCTCCTACCTACCATAAACAGTTTTCCAGAATCGAATCTCACGCAAACCCAACTAGCCACTTTTACCCAATGTCAGAAAGTCAACCAGACCAAAAACCCATTCCAGTTCATCAAAAGAATTTACCCCGCTTGGATCCTCTTCCGAGATCACATTCATTTCCCTGGCCAACCACTTCTCTACCACCTCTTGAACCTTTAAACAAAAAAGAACCTACAAACCGTTTAAAGGATCCAAACTCCAACCTGACGGATAAAGATGTCCCTTCTAAACAGAATTCTACATCAACAAGTTCTATTGAGAGGTTTGAAATTTGTTTTTACATTATTAAAAATCTGGTGCATTTTTCTAATTTAATTTTTTCTTTTAATTTTTAATTGATTTCTTGCAAATCAAATCTTTATTTGATTGAATTTTTGTTCTCAATTTTACAATATAAAAATTAATCTTTACATCTATATTGATTTTTTAAATACTTAATATTTAACAAAGAACTTTTTCTTTCAGTTCAAATTATTCTAGCTTTTGGAAACTTTATTTGAAACCGTAAATTGTTAAAAAATTAACTCGTTTTTAAAAACTGAAAACTAAATATTTTAGGCTTGACAATCACATTGCATTCAAGATGAAAACTAATGGCCAGCAAGGAAAAATTCTTTTTTTGAATTATCAAAAAAGAGTAAAGCTCAAAGTTTGAAAATCACAGTTTATTAAATATTTTTATGAATGTGACAAATTTATAAAATTTAACTAAGGATTTTTCTCCAGAAACAGAAACTCTTCACACCAAAAAATACATTGCCAATGATGCAACTACAAAAAAACTTGAACATTGCAATAATATGTCCTTCACAGCTCAGGTAAACTTTAATCTCATTTGTAACAAAGTGTATTGTGTATTGTGTAGTAAACAAGATGATCATCTTTGATTTAGAAACATTTATGACCAGAGTTTTTTTATATTGCATATTGCATACTTTAGGAAGTTGATGGAAAATGTAAACAGAGCATTGAAGACTTAGTAGATCAGGTAATAGCTTTATTTTGACTTTTAGTAATCATAATGTTTCATGTTTCCAAAAATCAAATTTTTATTTTCAGGTTATGGCAGAGGAGTCATTTGCTTCTTTAGAAAGTAAAAGATTAATGTCTTCACCAAGTAAGGAAGCTTCCAATGAGAAAATGCTGTATACATTTAAAGAAGTCGAAATGAAGAAGAAAAATCCAAAACTTAAATTTCTACTCATTTCAAAAAGTGTCCCCTGTGCGATTCCAATTAGAGATACCCCACAAAACGCCCTACAAAGTGAAAAGTTAAATGAATTGATAAATTCACGAACAAATTTTCTAGATAAAACCATTCATTCTGATCAAAGCGCAAATTTGAGTTTAGCAAGTGAGGTTAATGCTACTCCAGATAATGCTCAGAGGTTACAATGCCGTCCAAGCCAACCAATTCTCATTCAGGACATTAAAAACCTCACGAGAAACACCAGCAAGCTAGAAGAAAACAGTAAAATTGAAAAAGAAGTTTCCGGCATCAAAGACCAGTTAGATATGCAAACCAGTGATAAAAGCTTGGTTAAAAGTTCTGAGATGATGAATGGGTTTGGACAAGTGGGTGCTGATAATATTCAGTTAGAACAAACAACTAGGGCTTTGGAAATGATTCAGCTGAGAGCGGAAAATTGCAAAGAAGCGAAAAAATTGATTGGCGACATTACAAAAATAAGGTAATGTAAATTTTATTATAAAAATTATTTTAGTCATGATTTTGTTTTGCTTTACAAATTTTAAAAAAGCATTTATAATCAACATGTTGAACAAAAATTATTTAAGAACTCGATTGTGTGTAACATTTCTTCTCTGAAATTTGTTTTTCATTCTACAATTATATCACTTGTTCAATTATCAGGCGGAATGCAGAAAAAGACCTGAACCTGGTTCTTTATCAAGATCTTTTAGGAAACTAGTAAGTAACGATAAGAATAAAATACAGATGAAATGTATTTATATTTAACTACAGGAAAAAAGTTTTTATTTCAAAGTTCCAAATAAACAGAATATGAAATATTTCAAACATTTTGTTAACAATTCTTTTTAACAATGTTTAAAATTTAGAACAACTTACTAATCGACGATGACGGAACGCCTTGTCAATATGTTATTCTACAATAAAACTATTATCAGAGCCAGGAATTTTCCTTTGAGTTCTCATCAATTTTGAGCTGGTACAATAGTTGGCAATAATAAATAAATACTAAACAGTTGGGAATTCTAACACGTTCTCGCCCTTGAAACCGAGCATCAGGGGGGTAATACTAATGTGCGGTTTATGCCTTATAGAAACCGAGCATTAAGCGTAAAGATCGGTTTCTGCCTTATAGAAAACGATCATTTCGTTGGAGAGGCTTAACTTTTCATTGGAGACCCCCAGCTTTTCATTGGACCCCCCGCTTTTCATTGAGGCCCCAGATTTTTGTTGCCGACCCCAGAATGTCAAAGGAGACCCAAATAAATTCATTGGAGACCCAAGATTTTTTTCGAGGCCTACAGATTTTCTTTGGAAACCCCCAAATTTTCATTGGAGACCCCCAGATTTTTTGTTTTAAATCCCCAATTTTCACAAAAGTTTTTCATTGGAGAACTCCCCCATTTTTTGTTTTTAAACCCCAATTTTGGGTCTCCAAGAAAATCTGGGGTCTCCAATGAAAACCTTGTGCAGTCTCCTTTGAAAATCTTGGGGCCGCCCAAAAAAATCTGGGGTTCTCCAATGAAAATCTGAGGGTCTTTAAAGATATTCTTGGGTCTCTGATGAATTCTAAAAGGTTTCCAATGGAAGTCTGGGGTCTCCAATGAAAATCTGAAAGTCACCCAATAAAATCTGAGGTCTTCAATTAAAAGTTTGTGGCCTCCAAGAAAAGTCAATGAAAATATCTGCGTCTCAAATTAAAATCTGGGAGTCTCCAGTGAAAATCTGGGGTCTCCCATAAAATTCTGGGGGCCCTTAAGATTCTGGGGGTATCCAATTTTAGTCTGGGGACTCCAATGAAAATCTGGGGGTCTCATATAAAATTCTGGGGGTCCTTAAAATTCTGGGGGTCTTCAATGAAAGTCTGGGAACTCCAATGAAAATATTGGGGGCTTCAATTAAAATCAGGGGTCTCCAATGGAAATATGTGGGGCTCAAATGAAAATCTTGAGGTCTCCAATGAAAATCTGGGGTCTCCAATGAAAATCTGGGGTCTCCAATGAAAATCTTGGGGGCTTCAATTAAAATCTGGGGGTCTCCAATGAAAAGTTGGGGGTATCCACACCAATTAAATGTTCGTAATGGCCGACCTTTATCCAAAGAGAATAGAATATATATTAGAGGGGAATTTACTAGAAAAAGGTATAAAACGGCCATTTTGTTGTACTGTTTCCATACTGCAGGTGTACTTCACATATTTATACTATATAACCTTTTGGGCCCTGGAATATCATCTTATACAAAATCTAAAATTTATGTTAAAGAAAACCAAATTATGAAATAGGCTGGTTTCATAATTGACCAATGATCTTTTCACATAAACTCTATGCCTTTCACTTTACAAACGATGATTTTCCGTTATAACTATAAATAAAATGATGTTTTTTATTCACCTAATTCATTATAAAGTTTATTTAACAGCTTTAAAAAATTCGAAATTGAAATGGATAGTCTAGGGAACATACTGTATTAATGTACTCTACTGCATATAATTTGTGAACATGTACAGGATTTGTACACTTCCTTTCAGGCTGAAAGGGACTGAAAAAATTCATACCGAGAGATTCTCTAAATTCCCCTCTAATATATATTCTATTCTCTATGCCTTTATCCCTAATTCTCGGTTCCAAGGGCGAGAAAGTGTTTCAGATCTCCAACTGCTAAATGAATATTTAAATTCTTTAAATTCGACCTCGGGTGCCACATTTATTGAATAGCAAGATGCAGACTAAATAGTATACTAAGTTTAACCACTTTCCTTAAACTTGTATAGGCGAACAAGAGAAGGGGTTCAATTTAGTCTACACATAGCTGTCGAGAAATATTATGAAATATGATCGAATTAAAAAATCTGGCTAGTGGATTATTTAATTTAACGCAAGGTACTAATGCAAGGAAAGTTATTTCAGAGGTGTTTTGCATTTTTGTACTGTAGTGCACTGGCTTTGGGCGGAAAAGTAAACACAAGACGGATGTCATCCCGACATGGAATCCATTTTCACAAAATAATCTATGAATTATTCTGGTCATAGGAATCTATTATGTGAATTTTCAAAATTATTAAAATTAAATGCTTTAATCCTCCTCGGATACTAGAAGAACACTGATGCATCTATTCTTGTTTACAAATTCCGCCCAGAGAGAACTGGTTTCAATATGTACGCAGAGTATACGCGACCGCAATTAATTTTCCTTGCATTAATAACTTGATTGAAAGTGTGTAAAGAAGTTTCTTGTGAAGATAACAATTTGATTAAATTTGTTTATTTTCTTTTTTTGTAAATCTCTCAAAATTATGACAATGCAATGTCAAAGAAATTTTTTTTCGCACAATTAGTACATTATTAGTAGATATTACATGAGGTTAGATGAGATTTTTCCGACATGTGAATCTTTGGTACGCCGAATTTAATTTGATTTTAATAATTTGAAAGTTAAATTCTTGGAATTTAATCTAAACCTTTGATTCAAAGTACATCAAATTCTAATTTTCAATTACAAAAATTAATGAATAAAAGAATATATAAAAGAGTCTTTTAAGTGCTTTGCATACTGCTGTATTGCTGAGGAATCCTAAGCTAGTTCGAAGGTATTCTCTTGCCATGAAGATATTCAACATACCTCTTGATGTACGAAATAGAAATGGCGAGGTAAAACATTAACCCTATCTCTGCTGGGGTACTTGAAAACCAGAATATGATGGGGGGGTCAATTTGACCCCCCCCCCTCTAAATCCCATGTTTGATGTTCAAATATGACAAATGATACATGATTGGAAAGTTCTTGTGCTCTACTTTTAGAATCTGCAAAAAAATTGCAAATTTGCAAAAATTGAATTTCAAATATGCTTAAAATTTTGCAAAATTTTAAATAACCTGATTTCTAATCAAGATTAACTAAAAATGTGCAAATTCTTTTGACAGGTTGTTTGCAAAAAAATTGCAATTTTTTTTTTGCAAAACTTGTTCAATTCGTTTCCCTATGTGAAAGGCTTTCCAAAAAGCTAAATTTTATCAAAATCTGACAAGTGGAGGTGGGTCAAAACAAAGATTTAGTTTGTTACAGGAAAAAAAGTCATTCAGGCAGTGTGCCTGAGGACTCAGGCAGTTAGTATTAAAGCCCGGTTTTAGGCCTAAAGTGAGGGCTTTGGGTATGTAGGAAAAGACAGAAAATTTCAACAGCCTCAGACCAATAGTTTTTGAGTTATGTAAAAAAAACCACAGGGGGGGCCAAATTGCCCCCCCCCCCAGCAGCAATAGGGTTAAATCATCTTTACCTGTGTATCCTTTTCTGTAAGCATTTTGGAGCTGCTGAGTTTCCTCTGACACAAATACCAATCATGTACGTTTCTTGTTTCTGTGAGTGAAAGAATAACTGCATTTAATAAATAGCAAAACTAGATGTGCTAGGCTAGACAGTAGAACTACTTTTGTAGTATATGTTTTTAATTCAAACACGAGAAGTTGTTAAACAATTAGTTCCTAGTACAACGACGAAACGTAAAATGTACGTTTTTGTACATTACGTTACAATAATATAAAACGTTAGGATATATTCAATATAACGTGAACGTTGAACGTTAACGTTATAGGAGTTTATACCTAACGTTGAAGTTAAACGTCAACGTTAAACGTCAACGTTAGAGAACCATACCTCAAATGTTGGCCTTTTTTGGTAACGTAACGTTATTTTTCTAATATCCACAACAGGTTTGACCATAACGTGAAGAAACGTTTTGTTTCCATGGGGAGCTTGAAAGCCTAACGTTTGAAAAATTAATTGTGAGTTGATTGAATATCGTAACGAAAGGATTTCTCTTTCAAAGTTCAACTTATAAAAAATGTAACGTTGTATAACTGACAAATGCATTTCTGTTTATGAAATGTTTTTAACTGCTTTCCCTAATAGTATAATGAAAAGTTTAACGTTTCAGAAATGGTTTATTAATTAAATAATCAGGAGACCAAAGTTTTTATACAAATTATAAATTTCAATAGTGTAACGTATAATTTCAAAAATGTAATTCTGTAAATCAAAACGATTCATATCTTTTCTCTGAATACAAGATTGATTAGTCTAACGTTAGATATATGTCTGATGAAAATATTGTTCATAAAACTTACGGTAATGAGGGCTAAGTTTTAATTTCAAAAGTGTAACAATGATTTTGTCAATCAAACCATTTCAAAACGTTTCTAATCTCTCAATGAAAGAGATGACTGATGAATATGACAGCAAAGACTAATGGTTTTCATTTCAAGTTTATGGCACAAACTCTAATTATCATTTTTTATAGCTTTGCAACCCGACGTCGTTGTGGATCTATAATATTGAAATATCAAAGGTTTAAACCATCAGGTTGGAAAGATATAGCGATTAGTTTATTTGAAAAAACTTAGTTCCTTTCTAAAGTGCAAACGATTTTTTTTTGTAATATGCTATTAGTGAAAATTCAAATCTTATAAATATTTCTTGTTTAATGAAACCCACTAAAATTCTGAAAAGGAAGACGACATTTAAGAAATTTTACATATGCATTTTCTGTTATAAAGCAAATTATTTACAAATAGCGAAACGGGTACACAACACATTTGCTGTGTTTCATGTTTATTTGACTATTTTAAATCATAGCTTCAGTTGGCAAGGTTCATGTTTAAAGTTGAAAAATTAAGAAATTTAGATATACTTACTAAAATGCCAAAATATTTTATCGATTAAAAAATGCGTGTTATGTTTTGTTCATCAAAAGATTTTTATAAAACTTCAGAATAGAATAGAAAACTGATTTTTAATATATGTTAAAAAAAAACTTCTAATCTCAATTATCTCTCTGCAAGCTGGTGTTGTAGACTTTTGATATTTCTGTTGGAAAACAAATTCTAAAGGAGTTGAGTTGTTGTCACAAACTTATATTTCTAATCCCTATATCTTTGCTACCCAATGTTGTAGACCTCAAATATTTCAAACTATGAATTCTGTTAGATAGAAGAAAATCTACCGGAGGGTCAGTTTGCATTGAGTAAAAATGGAAAAAATTAACCCTAAATTAAAGTAAAATATTTTAGAACTATTATTCCATGCAATAGTGGTTTTCCTTTTTACTCATTTTGTGAAGTGTCCCAAAACATGTCTATTTTTAAGCTAATCAAATACACGATGATAATATCAAGCGCAATTGATCCTCCCTTTAAAGAGGCCATGCTCGATTACCAATGGTGTCGTGTATACCTTTATCCGATTGATGATTTGAAAATACCAGCGTTTTTCTATCTTGTAATTAAATGCAAGCCTCTATTAATGGAGGGTCACTTAATATTACGTTCCTAGTACCTTTAAGACATATCCTTGAGTTAAAAGTCTATAATGCTAAAAACTTTCATTCACAAATTTTAAAAACTGTTTAACCCTATTCCTGCTGGGGTCAATTTGACCCCTCACCCTGTAGTTTTTTTAACATAACTCAAAAACTATTGATCTGAGGCTGTTGAAATTTTCTGACTTTTCCTACACACCCAAAGCCCTCCCATTAGGCCTAAAACCGGGCTTTAATAATAACTGCCTGAGTCCTCAGGTAGACTGCCTTAATGACTTCTGTAACAAAATAAACCTTTGTTTTGACCCACTTCAACTTGTCAGATTTTGATAAAAGTTAGCTTTTTGGAAAGCCTATGACATAAGAAAACTTATTGCAAGTTTTGTAAAGAAATTTTTGCAAATTATGTGCAAACAACCCGTCAAAGGAAATTTGCACATTTTTAGATTTTCTTGTTGTATTATAGTGTGTTCAAGAGCAGAAAATTCATTACGTAACGTTAATCTATGTCATAAAATTTCATAATGTGTAACGTAACGTTTCAAACGTTTATACTTTTGATGAACACTATCGTAACAAAAGCTAAAATCTAGAAAAATCTAAACATTGACATCTCTACTACGTACTAGTATTCTTTATTACCGATCGTTGATATTTTTGCTTATTTTCAACAACAAGATGCTTAAGATAAATGTATCTAGCTGTTCTTGTCATCATTTTCTAAGACTTAAGCAAATAAATAACATTTTGGTGAATCACGTAATTATGTTGTATGCTTAGACTCGATATGTAATCAACATTTTTTTGAGTTATTACAATATTCACGTTATTTAGACAGCTCTACAGCTGAGTTTACACCTGGGAGAGCTGGAAACAATGAAGGAACTTCTTATTCAAGGAGCCTCACTTACAACTCCAGACAATCAGGTATACAGTATATATATAGGATCATGAAAAATTCAAAAAAAAATAAAAGCTTAAATAATGTAAATTCGAACAGTTTTAATTTTTGTGCCTGCTTGAATAAACCTTCTTTTTGTAATGGTTTAAGCAAGTAAATATTTATGCAAAAACATGTACATGCTATTTCTGTTTTAGGGAAACACTGTGGCACATCTTTTGGTGTTAGCAACCAATTCTCCGATTTTTAACATTGCTCACCAATATTTAGATCAAAACATTTTGGACAGGTATAATTCTGAAATTATTTTCATAAATTACTTACTTATTTAAAAAATTATTTTACTTAATTCTTTATCTTTTTCTTTCTATGAAGGCAGAATGACGCAGGCTTCACTCCACTTCATCTAGCAGTTTTATCCAGAAACGAAGAGAAAATAATTAAACTTCTTGATATGGGAGCTAATCCTCACATTCAGGTTTCTTTTATTTTCCTTAAAAAGAATAATCAAATAAGTAATAAAAAAGTATTTTCTTTTCCAAATCCTCTCGGGTTCTATTTATTCAGAATCAGAATAGCATGAAAAAGAATTAACATCAAGAAAAGGAAATAATGTCATTACAAATTCAAGAAAATTATTCTCCAGATTTTAGGATGGCTTTGTCTATTTCGTTTATATTTTTTTAGAATAGTTAATCTGTTATATGAACGTTTACAAGCGTGTGTACCCAGCTTTACATGGAAACCTTAATTACCTTTATTACATCCATGCACATCACAAAGGGTGTAAATAAATTTTTTTTTTTAATAAATGGTAAAACGAAAGATTTTTAAAAAATCAGATAGAAGATGGCCAAAAACCCCAAAAAAATCTTAAGAACGAAAGTCTATTAAAAGAATTGGTGGAAAAATTTATAACAAAAACACTTATCTTGAACGGTTAAAGGACAAATTAAGGCTTGTAATCAAAATAGTAGTTAAGCCAGCAGGATGTAGATATTTTTTGATGTGACTATTTTCTGGTCGAAACCTCATTGCATAAACATCTTATTAAGCTTCATTTGTCATGATTAATAAAAAAATGAAAATCACCTGGAAAGTTTTCTGTTTTGACGACTTTTTAACGGGTAAAGAAAATCAATATCTTCAAAAAAGGAAGATTGAACGGGTGATAATTTTGATGATGGGTATGAAGACTGTTTTTAATCAAACTATGGCTTAAGTTTAAAAATCTGGATTCAAGCCTTAGTTTAAGTAACGGGCACAAAAAAAAATCAGATAAACAAACTCAAAAACGATGTAGTGTCTTAGAATGATAGAGCTACATTCTAAGGAGCTGAAATCTCCTTAAATGCTGAAAAAGAGATATTTAACTCCAGGCTGGATTACGGAATCCAACCAACAAAATTGCAAATGGTTGGCTGAAAGAGAACTTTCTGGTTATTCTTAAGGGCAAGGAAGCATTAAATGATAAGAAGATTTCAATAAAACATTAATAATTCTGAAGAATATTAGAAATTTGTTTGTAGGCGTTTGCGTCAACTTCAGTTTATTTTAGATTATAGAGAGACAGATCGAAAAATATCAAAATTATATGCAAACCTTTAGATTGATACATTTTTAGTTTCTGTATTTATTATTTTTAGCCCCCTCTTTCAGTGTTTTTTTTTACTAGAACAGCCTTTATTTATTTTAGAATAATTTGACTGGAGAGACTCCACTGTGTCTGCTTGATCGTCGCCATCTTAATCAAGAATTTGTTAGTCTTCTCCAATCCAAGGGAATACTTCTCAATTTACAAAATACAAATTAGTCATTTTTTAAGTATTTTAGTTTAAGCACTTGAAATAAGAACTCATAGAAATGAACTTTAGAAATGGCTTTAAAAGCAAATGGTTTATGTTCAATTTTATTGATCATGCTGTTGTGTGTCATTAATCCTATCACGATTTAGGCCTAAAAGCCAAGTGGTAATTATTTCGTATTTTCTTATAAAAGACTTTCAATTTTATTAAATTTTAAGTGTCAATGTCAATTACTGAAGAAGAATATTGAGGTCATTGGATAAATTTAGAAGTATAATAACACTGTTTGATTTATCACGAAACTAAGTTTTTCCTGTTATAATATTCATAATATTGATCAAAATAAAGAAAGAGTTTAAGCATCATATAGATTGTAATGCTGGCTTTCTTGTATAATATTTGATAATAAGCTTTTTGATATTTATAACTCAAAATGAAATAAATCAGGATTTATTTCTATTGTAAAGCAATGGAAATCATCATTTTGTACTATTTTTGTTACATTTTAAAGCTAAGAAAATTTGAACTCATTTGTTCACTTTCGTGAATAAAAGAATCTCATAAAAACCTGGTGCTCGCCTGAAAAATCTGAAGTCAGGATAAACCTGAAAATAAAATTGTAATTTTCTAAAACGTGCTGCCGTTATAACGTTCATTACAGGAATTGTTTAATCATATGTAACGCAAAATTCTATTTATTTTTTCAATACAACTGCCATTCTTTACTCCCTGCACTATACTACCTTCTTTGTTATGTTATTTTGTGAAAAACAAGTTTACTTTTGTTTGCTTAAGCGTCAGAAGAATAAAGTTTTTGTTTTTAGTATTCTATCATAAGATAGTTGTAATTGTAATCTTAAAGTAAAAATGTTATCTCTAACCAACAAATACAATTAGGATTTCATTAAATTTGATAAGAATAAATTGGCAAATTACTATGACCTTTCATATTGCTGATTAGAGAAAAATAATATATTTAAACCTTTTTGCTAACGTTAATGATCTACATTATTTTGGTTTTTGAAGAACTTCTTTCTAGATCCTAAAACCAACAGAAAGTTTGTTATAATTCTTTTGTTTTGGTTTGTCAATGAATGTTTCAAATAAAGAATAAATAATGGCCATTGTTTTCAACTTTGAAGAAAATATTGTGAGAAGCTGAATAAAAATATTTGCATACCTTTGAATTGCAGGATGAAAGGGAACGGTTTGTCTTACAGTGGTAGATATATAGTAAGATGAAAAGATAGATAAATAAATGATAAATTGAGAAGGAGGGATAGAGATATGCAGAAATTTAAGCATTGTAGATATATGATATAAAATGGAATGATGAATTCGTGGATACTCAGTAAATCCTTAATTTTTATATATTTTAATTTGATAAAATAAATATAACAATAATTGTAGTAAAACACTTGCTGTGGATACCAACTTCTAGAAAGATGTTTTACTTAATTATCCTGTTTCATAAACAGCCTTAATTATCCCAATTATTTTGTTTTGAATAAATATGTTTTACTTTCGTAGTTGGCCATAAAAGATTTCTTCATCGTCATCGTTACTGCTAAATATATACTTCCCAGTTATATTTTGAATTAAGCATCTGAAAAATTATCCTATGAACCAGGCATGAAAAATCCTTCCCAAAGAAACCTTCTTTTAACTATCTGATAAAATAACTAAAATAATCATCCTAGGGTAGATGGTGGTTAGTTACCAAGCTTTATATTAGGATAGAATAAAAGTGAAACGTGTTAATTTACATGAACATAATTTAGATTTAAAAATTAAATATAATTAAAAAATTTTACACTAAAAATAATTCATGAATACTGCATAGCAGCCAAGTGGCAAGGCTGATGCACATCCAACATTTCACCCTAGTAATACGATTAAAAAATATTTACTTATTTAAGTAAATTATAAAACAAGTTAATTATAAACTATCAAAATATTTGCATAATTACATGACATACACATGAATGTATACGAGAACAGCCTTCATGTAAGTTGTGACCCTTTATTTGATGAATGTCATGATAAATTCAAAGTAATATTTGTTTAATATTTATCCAAGAAGAGTTTGGAAACCTAGTTTTGTCTGAAAACTAACCTTTCGTATTTCTCAATATACATATTAGAAAAAACTCTTAGAATATTCAGGGAAAAGCAGAAAGAGGAAGAAATAGGGGTAAGGGAAAGGTAAAAAAGGAAGGGGACAGGGGAAGGAAACGGGAAAGAGAAAGGGGTAAGGAAAAGTGGAAATGGGAAGGGAAAGGAGAAAAGCGAAGGGGAAATGGGGAAAGGTTAGAGGGAAGGGGAAGGGGGAAGGGAAGGGGGAAAGGGGAAAGTAATTGGAAAAGGGGAATTAAAGAGGAAAAAGAAAAGGAAAGGTGGAAAGAAAAAGAAGGGGAAGGGGAAGGGGAAAGGGGAAAGAGAAACAGGAAGGAGTAGATAAGGAAAACACTGAAAGAAAGTGAAAGAAAAAGAAAGGGCCAAAGAAGAAGAGAAAGTGGAAAAGAAAGGAAAACTCCATTTGATGAAATATTAAAAGCGAATTTACGCTCTTATTTAGAAATTATACACAGTAGTTTTTAGTCTTTTCGCTATCAAATGAATCCTAAAATTTTTCTACTGCACTCTCGGTTTAAATATGTTACCTTGCACATTTCCCTTTAATTGTTCTTCCACACACCTAAGTAGGCAAGAGGTATAAATAGTTGATTAGTTAAAGGACCATTATAAACCGCGAGAACAATCCCCTTTAGATGCAGTTTTAGTTAAATTTTAGAAAAGTGTGTGAGGTGAAGCTTCCCTCAACCAAAAAAATCAATATTCACAGGATTCTGCAAGTTCAGCAATTTTCTGGAAATTTCATCGGCTTTAAATTTACTTATTGAAGTTAAAAACTGGCCCAATTTAACAACTTCTAAACTTTATATTTTTAATTCTTTCCGTTTTTAATCATGGAAAAAATTGTTTTTCTTATAAATTAGAAATATTTTATTTGTTAATAATGTTTTCAGTGATTGACATTTGCTAGCAAAAAATGACTAGTTAATAAAAAATTGATTTTTCAGATGTTTGAGAATTTTTGTTCTTGTTAGTTTTTACTGCACAAGTTTTTTAATTTGCCCTTTTCGTTTAAAAAACTCATATTAAATTTCATATGAAAAGATCAACTAATTACAAATCGTCGTATCTTGTCCTGTACTTCAATCTTTCGACAAGGAAGATGAAATAACAATTACATAGATATATTTGAATCATAAAATTTAAAAAATTGTTTATTCAATAAATGCTTAGATAATGTTTACAATCCCTTTACGTTTAAGTTGTAAAACTGGCTTTCATGCCAGGTTCCCGGTTTCAACAAAAATTCTGAACCATTGTGCTTCAGGATACAAGTCTGAAAAGAGCAAAATATTGTCAGCAAAATTTTGGCATACAAGGTTTAAAACTCCAGCCAACATTTTGCAAACTAAGCTTAAAACCAGAAGAATTTGAGACCTGAACATTTTCCAATTCGTATTAAAGGAAAAAGAAAATAAAAGATCAAAAGAAAAATCTTATAAAATTATTCTATTTTATTTCTTAATCCCAGATCACACTAAAATAAGCAAGTGGGCTTGCTACCGATATTTGAGTGATAATGATGACAAACAGACACACGAACACATTAAAGACAACTATCAAATTAAATCTCTTGGGATGATGGCGATAATTTGGCGAATTTTATATGTGTCAACATGTATACTGTTTAGATACAGGGTGTCCCAATAAATATGGGAATTCAGTGACGAATTCTATATCGTCTTTGTTATGAATTGCGATTGTAACACATAATTTCAAAAGCCATAATATTATTATGTCTGCTAGAGTTTGTTTTATGAAAAGGGGAAATGGTTGTAAAGATATATCTGTAATGTCTCCGCAAGATGAACAGTGAAGACGGACAAGTTTACTCTGTTTGTATACTGTAATTTTCTTGTTTTACTAAGTACAACCGTATGCAGTCAAAACAAATACAAACAAAATGTGAACTTAGCACTTACGGATTGCAGCTTTTCTCAGTAGGTATCACTAAACTAAATCAAAGAATTATACGATATTGAATTCGTCACTGAATTCCCATGTTTATTGGGACACCCTGTACAAGCAGTGAAAATCACGGTATGAATGATTACCATTTTCTCAAATTAACTAAGTTTTTTCATTCTTTCTCAAGAGTTAGGAAGGGGGGGGGGGTATTATTAAATTTAATCAGAAATTTTTTTTAATCATTAAATTTGTTTTATTTCAGGATCTTTCTTCAACTTTTCCAGAGTGCAATAGAGAAATCGATTGGCTATAGAAAATTGTTGCTTATTTTTTACAACTGAGACAAAGTTCCCAACCTGTGATAATCTAGCAAGAGAAAAGAACAGAGAAGAAAAACCAACCAAAATCCGCAAAAAATTGTCCAAATTAATTTTGTTTGCTCATAAATAAAGATATTTTTTAAACTATACTTTTATTTACACATTTGTCTTGTCTGCTTCTGTGTTTGTGTGTTTGGACTTGAAATTTTCACTTTTTGAATCTCTTTTGGATAATTCAATTTTTAAAAGGGCCCTGAAAAAGGCAACATTAATACCTGGATAGGCTGAGCAGGCCTAGTGTCCCGGCACGACATGCCTCGGTTCCATGAAATGTTTTTTGACTGACATCTTACGGCTAGGGTTTCCATTCGCAAAACTTTTGCGCAATTCTTGCGGAACGAAGCGCAAAATTTTTCTTTCTTTGCGCATCAGTTTTGCGCGAAAAAACAACAATTTGCGCAATCATTCGCAAAAGTCATTTCGCGCAAAATTGCCCTATTCCGCTTTTGCGAAACTCAGGTTTTGCGCAATTCCGCAATTTCGTACCAAAATCCGAAACAGATTGTCCAGTAAAAGTCTCGACAATTTTAGTTTTGGACATGCATATTTCCTAAAAGTGGATTCTTCAGGCATTGGTTACTCTCTTGCATTATTTTATATGAGATTAAAAAGATTTCAGAAATTTGATTAAAAAAATTTAAGAATATAATTCATACTTGATTAGGCAAAGCTTTTAAGGATCACTTGAAATTATTTAATAAGATTAAAATATTGCCAAGTTTCACACTCTCTAATTTCTATTTTATTAATTTTGGTCCCTTAATTTAAACTTTTTGTAACTGGATGCAACCAATTGAGTGTAGCACAATCGTTATCATACTCGTATGTTAATATTTTTTTATGGATGGAATAAATCTTCAGTTGTTTAATTCTAAGCTTAGAATATCAATTTTTGACAATTTGCCTAAAAAGTTACATTTTGCGTAAAACTTGCGGTTTTGCGCAAATTGCGCAAAACTAAAATTTAGTTTCATGCGCAATTTCGCAAAAAATATTTCCGGTTTTGCGAAAATTGCGCAAAAATAAATAGCGCAAAACTCATTGCGTTGTATGAGCAAAAATGCGCAAAAGTTCACAAAAAAATTTTGCGCAAAAGATTTAGCCATTTCGTGGAAACCCTACTTACGGCCACTTGTTGCATTCAGGGTTTTACAATAAATCATCGTTATTTCACTAAATTAGGGATTTTTGCTTTGTAACAACATCAAATACTTCAAGGAGATATTGAATAGAAGGAGGGGGCAATAGGGTTTCCGTACACTTTGCTGTGACGTTTTTGGACTGCTGAAGAACTAGTTTTTGCGCAACAACAATAACAAAGATTGTAAACAATAACACAGATGATAAACAGACATCTGACATCTCTGGCGTATTTAAAAAGGGAGGGGGGCAGGATAAT